TAACCCACTCTTAATAAAAGCACCTTACAGTACTTATCTCCTTATTTCCAGTGGGACCACTGCCATGTGGACAGGTCTGTCACTACCCACACCAACTTTTACTGGTTTTGAACACATTTGAGAAACCATGTCAAAATCTTTTCAGAACTCAAGTTTATCACTAGAGCTGGGTCATCCAGCTCCCAAAAAAAGTTAAATTCAAACCATCAGACTGCTTTAATTAGCTAGTACAGAAGTACAGCTATCACATACAGTCAAATAGGCTTTCCTCCACAAACGTTTTAAGCAGACGAGAAAAAAGTAGTTTAGCTATTTACCTCTCCCCTCTAACTACTGAGTCATGACTTGGAATAGATCAATATCAATTTTCTAATTACTGGGTTTTTTACCACATTTTAAACTGTCATCTTACTGTTATTAATGAAGCTACTGATAGATTTTTTAGGTGGGTTTTTTTTTTCCCTTTCCTTTTGTTTTTTCCCCCCTTCTAGACTTGTATTATAGTTTCTAGTATCTGGTTACATCCACTTGTATTTTTCTGTTGTTTTTTTTTTATTATTTTTAAAATTGTCTTTTAGGTAATATCAACATTTCCTTCACTTTTATTATAGCTATTTTCTAAAAATTGTTCTTAAACTCTTCCAAGTTATAATTAAAATTTCTGAATTCAAACCTTTTCTCCTTTTTGACAGAGTTCATATTTGCTGTTTCATACTGACAAGTATGGTGGACTGAACTTGTATCAACCACTGCAAGCATGACCACTGAATAATGATAAACAAGCATTTGTTTCCAAATCTATAAGCAATTTATCTTTCAAGATACCATAGAATATATAATTTCCTTATATTTGGTTTAACAATATTTTACTTGAGGTGCTTGGTATCTAAAGTTTTCAGAGATTTTAAGGAAGTCCTGCTATGGAAGCATGAAACATTTCAGTAGAAAACAGAATAACCATATTCTCTAATATGATGAGTGATCTGAAGAAGCCATGTAGGAGATCCTTCTGTTTGTTATGTCTTAAAGCACTGCCCTCACATGCACTGACATCCTAACAATAATACAAAGCTACAGCACTGTGCAACTCCCTGTACCAAGGCAAACAGCACACACAAGGCCATAAAATTACCTCTGCTTCCCCATTCAAAAACTAAGTGTTTTTACATAAAATGCATTTAAACCCAGTCTTGCTGTTCTCATTTTCTATTCCTTGGACTTTTGCTGTTGGCTATAACAGAAAAAGGATCAGGTCCATCATTGTGTGTTCATATACAGTCTATTGACCTAAGTTTCCATTATTTCAGACCAGTTTCACTGAACAGGAATTTTTAAAAATTGAAGATAAGAGCAGTGAAAACTAAGGGTAGTGGAAAAAACATTCAGGTAACCCTCAAAGTGGCTACACAGAGCAGGCAGTACCTCTGAAATTCCTTGATGGTCAATGAAGGTCACAAGACTCTGATTTGAAATATTGCTTCAGCAGAAACTCTTTGAAGCTACAGCACATTTAACTTTAGGTTTTTTGTTCATAAAAATATTCTAATTACAAAGACTTAAGAATGCATGTGAACCGCTTAACAATGCAAATTTTCCAACAAAATAAAACTCTAATTAATGCCAGAAGCTTAATTTTTCAGTTCCTGGCAAGTGCTGGCTCTGAAAGTCACAATATGTTCCCTTAGTGCTAAAAAAAGACATAAAATATTAAAATAACAAAACAGCTCTACTATTTATATAAATTCCTGAGTTGTCACAGTTCACATTATCAGTTGACAGCAACTTGTATCATGCAGAACACAGTTGGATTGTGAGAGGCTCCACCTCTCAGAAATGGAACTTTCCTTACCAGAGAAGGTAAGGGGACCAGAGACAGCTCAGACAGCAAAGAATGCATCATCGTCTGCCCTTTGAGGCTGTGCCTCTACTGACAGCTGATAAATTGGCTGAATCAAGGTTTTTGATGGCTCTGTTTGTGCTGCACTAAAATATGTTCTTAAATAAGCAAAATATTTCATGCTTTGTTGTTTTGTTTTTTTCCAAAAAACTGAAAGACGTTATCTTTGTACTGCATGGTTGAAAATCATCTTCTGTTGATTGCTTCTTTTTCCATGTCAATAATAACCAACTTCATTTGATGTGTGACACAGAGTATGGGATATGGTATATATCCATTCCTTTTTTCATATGTATTATACCCTTGTAAAGAATCAACATTTAAATAAAATATAGATCGTAGTCATCAGTTTTCAGAAGTCAAAAGAAGTTTTTGCACATTCAGCTTTGATTTCCATCTTATCCCATTTCAAAGCTATCAATAAATATTACTAGAAGTACGCTCATCCTACTGTTTAACTGATTTTTTTCCCAACAGAATGAAAATATCTCCTTTTACTCCACAGTGTCTCAGAAACTTCTGAATAAGGTAGCACATATAAAAAGCAGTAACAGTTCACAAAATGCACATTCAGCTACACTGAAATACACTAAAAAATGCAACAAAAATTTACAAATTTCAGATAGACTTTATTTACAATAAAATTAAAAACAAGTCATATGGTAAATACTGACAGCCTTTAAATCTGCTATGCAGCTAGAAATGGCCATTCTGCTACATCCACGTATATATTTTGCATTATTTTACATGTACAGTAGCATAATACTAAACCTTGTTTTCATATAACACCATAGTGCTTTATATAGAATATCAAGTTCTTTGTGTATTATCATGAAAAACATTTTAAATTATATCATAATAATTAGATATACTATGTCTTCATTTTTGTTTGCATTGTATTTTCCAGCTACTGGTTTCAGAAAATTGCCATTAGTTTTGTTCTTCTCTTCATGAAGAGCATACAGTAATTTGCAAAATCAAGCAAGGATGAAAATGTGATTGAAATATAGGAATTTTTCTAATGAAATATTATTATTGCATTATAAATTATTGATAGAACGGTTCTGGAACTCTCTTCTGATGTGCTCATCCTTTTGAGGGAAAATTTCCATAAGAGATACAGCTATTGCTAGAGCATGTTTGGCTTCAGATGCACATTTTGCAACAGTTTTATTAAATTATGGTCAATATAATGGATTTTTAAGGCCTATTCTCAAGTCCATGCCCATGAAAACACTGCATTCAACTGCAGAATTGCCTAATTGAGAAATACAATTTACCCCGTTGCCTTAGGTACTTTTACAGTACAAGAGAGATTTTACATATTTATATTGAACAGATACTTGAAAGTATTGCCATATTACCATTACATCTTAGCAATGTTATGCTTGCACCATCTTCACTTACACAGCATAAAATGTTACCTTGAATTACTGTTTTAATGTGAAGTGCTAACGCTTCATTGACTGCAGTCTGAGTTTCTCTTTCCACTGAAACCAATGACCAGGTGTGCTATGTGATTTCTCTCAGGCTCAAACAGGGAAAAAAAGCTCCTTGAAAATGTTAGCAGACATCATACATATTGGTTAAGCTAAACAGGTGGCTAAATGTTAGCACAAAGCTTGAGAAGAGACCAAAGCATCTGGGTGATGCTTCTGACCTCAGAAAACAGAGCAGAAGTGCTTCTCCCTTAATTCAACCATGGAAGAAATAACTTACTGAGAAATTTTAATCCTAAAATTCTAAGCAGCAAGAAAAATTTCCTTTATATCAAACAAGTACATAAGGCATTTTATGTTGAACAATATACAAAATGGTATAACAAAAGCCATTTTTTTAAACTCAAGAATTTCATCTTAGTACTTACCTGTCAGTATCCTGGAACCCAAAGGATCATAAAATAGACAATCCGTTAAAAAGAAATGCAAAGTATAACAATCTACTAAAATAATGAAATTAACAGATATTGAAGTCTAGTTCAAGAAATTTCTCTTGGCTTTCAGTTGTTTTTCCCTACCTGGCCCATCCCAATCTTCAGTCTCTACAGCAAGCTGCCCTGGTTTCTCTGACCTTGCATCACCATCAGATTCAGCTGCCTCCTGGATGCCTTCTTCATTGCCTGAAAAACCATGCAAAAAATACAGTATTGATATATTCCAATACTGACTTTTAAGCAAAGCTCCTATAATATCCAAACAGCTGCTTACATGCCTAAGCGAAAACATATGCAAATCTATAAACAGAGAGAAAATGAAAAAAAAAAATTAGACATCTAAAGGTTCGTGAATTTCCACTGACTCAAAAAAGTCCTGAGCATCCAGTACTTCCAGTTCCACAGAGAAAAAATCTTGGAAAACAGTGTTTATTCCATATGTTATAAAAAAGGATCACAACTTGCACCTAGTTCTGTAAACCAAAGCACATAAAGTCACCAAATCTGTACAAAGGAGAGGAAAAAATCAGCTCGTGATTCCCCAGGAATATAAGCTTTCACTTATGGGTTTTCTTGCATTGACACTTATATGTTTCTTATGCACTTCAGATAAATAACACTCAGAACAAAAATATGGTCCACTAAACATTTTGCTTTTTCCCACAACTAGTGAAAAGTTAATCCATGGTATTTCAGCATTTAAGGAATTTGCCCTTAAAGTCATAATATACCAGCAAGCCCCTAAAGTAATTTTCTCCCTATCAAGTTTTATTTAAAGGAATGCTACATTTCTGATGAATTTTCACATTTTTACCATCTAGAAGTACCTGAAAATGTCTGCCTTCTGTTACTACCCACTACAAGGGCATATACAAACACACATAGAAAATTATAAGATAAATTTTTTAGAGATAACCATTTAATTTTTATTTGAAGAGTTGCTTGTTGAAAGTGTAGTTATTTCCGGTAAACAAATACACTAGGCAAGCTCTTTGCCAAAATACTTTGAAATAACCACTGTGAAATATACATTGAAGATGAGGGGTTCAGGAATTAACACAAAACACTCTGGCCACAGTAATGCATTAAGTGACATCTCTAAAAGCTTTTCCAGGTTTGGATTTTACTCATTTGTAGATGTTTTTTTTAGTCTTAAACTATCCAAGAAACTCAGGCACAGGAAGACACTAAGAAGAACTGAAAGAAAAAAACAAATCTACACAATTAACTACTTCAGTCAAATAGGACTGATTATGGTTTAATTTTTTTATATTCAACTTGAAGGACACTTGTTATAAAATGATCTCCCACAAAAAAATGACAGCACTAGAAAAAAAAAACCCGTGTATTTTACAAACTGAAAAATCAGACCCTTTGTTGATTTAACAACAGGAGACCAAGAAAGAGCAAAAAGCACAGCAATTAAGCAGTAACTTGTAATTTTTTTTCCCCACTCATGATAACAAAAGCTTTAATTAGCAACATAGGTAAAGAAATGTGATTACAACAAACTATGCCAGATCCCCATACATTATCACTGGAGCTATATTTATACTGGATAAGATTGTGACCCAGAGTTTTCAAGTACATGATTATATACAAACACTATAAAGTACTAACTTCATGTGCACATGTAACGTCTCGTAATAACACATTCTTCCTTGCATTCATGAAACACAGTTTTTCAAAGATGAAATCTAAGAGTCTGATAAACTATTACTCACACAAACACAATACTATAATCATTCCAGAGTTTGATTACAAAACTATAGTGCAGTGAACTTGTGGTACTAAAAACATAGTCCAGAATATTCATATGCACTTGGAGTGTGTAAAATAAAACTTAACTACAACAGAAATATCTAGTATAATTTTTGTGTTAAATTAACTGTGCAACTTTATCCAGGCATTTGAAGTTCACATGCTTCAGTTCAATCTGAAGTTACCTTTCAGAAGAAAGTCCTAAATATACTCGTGTGCTGAAAAAGCTATCAAGTTTCTGCTAAGCAGTTTTAGTAATTATTTGTTTTTAAGCAACTAGCCTATTTTGAATTAGCATTTGTATAGTTACTTTGTAGTAATCAGACCTCTGCTTTCTTTGGGTGGACTGAAGAACCTATTGGACACTTCTACCTTCCTTTTTCTATATTTATAGTAACTTAAAGCAGCAAAATTTAATCTTTCATTGGAAAGACAAAAAAGAAATTTTTCCTAAGTTCAGACCTGGCATGATCAATTCCAGTTTTCTCAAAAATGTTTGAAAGCAATTCACAGCAAGGGCAATTCTTGTTTTTTTAACTCAAGATGTATAACCAACAGAGACAATTCTTAGAATTTTCTTTGTATAGAATGCAAATATTTTTCTTCCACTGCACATAACAGAGCTGTATGTACTGAATCAGAACAGTAACAGTAAAATTTAGAAATAGTAATTCTTTTATACAGAAAAGAAGCACAGAAATTGGATAATTTAATCTCCAAAATATTGAGTTCTTCCAGGTTATAATATATGCCAACCTGGTGTTAGCTTGCAAATTTCAGTTTTCTTCCTGTCAGTGCAACCAACCAGAACATAAACAAATGAAACTATTAGAAGAGGACAAAGTTAAGTGAAAAGATTGGGCTGAAAAGCAAAAGGACAGAACAACAGCTAAGGTACAAAAATCATAGTAGACAGTAATTAAGTATTTGGGTGATGAGGAAAAATCTGAAAATATATGTTAGCAGATAACTAACTTTCCATTAACTCGCTTTTTCAGTGTTTCATGAAGTATAATGTTACATGGTTTTTACAGCCATGTTTTAATTAATTGAAGCATGTCTAGTACAAATAGAGTAAATAGAATCTGTAGAATTTACATTAAGGAAAACTTTATTTTGCATCTAGAAGTATTCTTTATTTTCATTGATATTTTCTATTATTCCCAGCTGCCAAGTGCATGCATTACACACCTGAAATGTCACCACATTGATTTCTCCTGTTCCCCTACACTACTCCAGTCTGCCAGTGAAACCAACAAATGGTACATTACTGTCAATTTCCGAATCCACCAGGGAGTGAAGCCCATCCTAGGCTCAGTTGAGCATCAAGGTCAGATTAAAATGGGCAACCAAAACAATCCATTTGGTGCTGGAGACACTGTAACTTTAAAAAGCCAAAAGGAGGCTTAGCAGAAGAGCACATCTCTCAAGCTTTTTTTCTTTTCTTTCCCCATACTTACAGCTATTTTAGCAGCTAACATTTGTTTAACACAAAGGAATTTATTTCCTTTCAGAATTTATTTTCTTTCTGTTGTTTACTCTTCCTGTTCAGTCACTGACTACTCTTCAGTCTCAATAAGACTATTTTTTAATATTTATTTTAGAATTGATTACATTTTTCTTCCATTTACAGGTGTAGACATGTAACTGGATCCAGGACATTAATTATTTCTTTCTTCCAAGGCCAATCAAGGGGGGGTTTTGCCTATATATACTACCTATGTGCTACTGACTTGTTGATTCCTTTCTAATCCCATAATTTTGGGTTTTCTCACACTTTTTCTTTACTTATTACACTTAATGTATTTAAGTCAAAGGATAAATAACTTTTTACCATCAACACCAAAGAGTGGTGTAAGTACTCTAAAATGAACCAAAATCTGCTTCTGTTTAAGTAGATTTAAGCCCTGTAAGTGAATTCTGTCCTTTAAATTATCATTGCATGAAAAAATACTCTTATGAGTAAGCACATATAATACCATAAACTATGTTCAATCATGAGTCAAGTAAATCTACTGGAATTTCCACTACTTCTCTATACTTGGTATTAAAATTACACTTTTGGCAGAACTCATCACCTCTAACCTTAGATGCCTGAAAGTTAAGCTAGTCCAGTCTTCTTACGTAGACACTCGTGTAGAAAGGGAAGAAAGAAACCTCCTGAGTGATTCATCCTATTCTAGGATGCCTGAGATATGAGACCCCTCAGTGTCAGAGAGCTGAAATGAATCATCCTCTTAAACACACAGCTTAGACTAGGAACCTATCTTTAGTCAGCTAAAGTTGGGGGAAACAAATCTCTGACTTATGCTGAAATGCTGAATACACAAAATGCTGCTTAACTAAGAGGAAAAAAAAACCGTCTTATTTAAACAACTTCAATATGTAATGTGGATAGAATTTTCATCTTGACCTCATAATTTCTTACCAGCATTGACTGTTTCTGTTGTCTTCAAAAACAGTTCAAGTTTTGGGTTTTTTTTAATGTGGTTTAAATAGCCTAATGTTTATCCAATAGACAATTCACTGTAACTCAAGGTGGTAAATTTGGTCAGGAAATCTGACGACTGTAAAAGAGACATATTACCAGACACATGAGAGAGAACTCCAGCTTCTCTGACAACACTGACAAGTAGGAAAGAGAGACTTGAATATTAACAAGTAATTTCACTTTAATCTTTTTAACAAATTAAAGACTTCCCAATTTGTACTTAATCAGCTTGTACCACAAGTAGTTGTGGTATTTTACAGAAGCACATGGGTTAGCAGTTCTTCTCAATCCTGCTGTTTTAATCCATGTTGCTCCTATCAGTATTAGGCTCTTACAGAAAGTCTCGTACAATATAACTATTGAACTTTCTTGACTAGGAATGTTATAGCAGCTGTTAGGCACTCTATAATGTATTTTGCAATCAGCTAAATCGACAAAGTATTTTTAACAATAAACAGTTCAGAACTGGCAGATCTACTTTCTTGTTCGCAACTGCTTATCACGGCATAGATATCATGTATGTTTACCAGGTGCTTCCTATAGTTAGGATACCTTCACAGAAGCCGCTCACAAAAGATAAGGTCATAAAAGAGATGGAAAACGTGCAAGTTTCATACACTCATGGTTTTATCATCAGACAAAATAGCTTTGGGTGAAGGACTGTACTAGTCACAAAAAGAACACAGCAGCTTCTATTAGAGTGAGAGAACAATAAAAGTTTGAAATTCAGTTTGTTTTCCCTCTTCCTGGCAGCATAAATGTAAACTTAAATTGTTAACATCCTCATACAGCTGTTCAGAGTGAAACATCACTTCTCAATTATAATAAATCAGTTCAGAAATAAATTGTCGCAAAGCCTGTAGCACTCAGTATTGCCAAAAGAGAAAACAGATGCAATGCAAAGAGAGTCACTCACTGTAGACTTTCACTTGGC